AGTGCAGTGGTGCGATCTCGGCTTACTGCAACCTCTGCCTCCCAGGCTCAAGAGATCCTCCCACCTCAGCCTCCTGAGTAGCTGGGACCACAGGCATGCTACCACACCGGGTTAATTTTTGTATTTTTTTTGTAAAGACTGGGGAGATCTCTATGTTGCCAGGCTGGTCTCAAACTCCTGGGCTGAAGTGATCTGCTCGCTTCGGCCTCCCAAAGTGCTGGGATTATAGGCAAGAGCCACCATGCCCGGCCTCTGACCAATTTTTCACCTCCATCACTGCTACCCTGGCGCAAACCACCACCACCTCCCGCAGAGTCCTGACGGGACTCCAGTTTCCACCCTCACCTCCTTAACTCTATTCTCTCTCTCTTTTTTTCTTTTTTCTTGAGTCGGAGTCTCGCTCTGTTGCCAGGCTGGAGTGCAGTGGCATGATCTCGGCTCACTGCAGCCTCCGCCTCCTGGGTTCAAGCGATTCTCCTACCTCAGCCTCCCAAGTAGCTGGTATTACAGGCACATGCAGCCACACCCAGCATTTTTTTTTTTTTTTAGTAGAGACGGGTTTCACTATGTTGGCCAGAATGGTCTTGCTCTCCTGACCTCGTGATCCACCCAACGTGTTGGGATTAAAGGCATGAGATGCCGCGCCCAGCCTCTTCACTCCACTCTCAACACAGCAGTCTGAGAGAGCTCCTGAAGGTCTCAACCCACATCACTCCTCTAGAGTGGCCCCCAGGCTGCTCTGAGTCAAGGCTGCACTGTGGCCACAGGGCCCTACCTGATCATCTCCCTCTCCCTCGTTCTGGCCACACTGACTTCCCTGTTGTTCCTTAAATAGGCCAGGCCTACTCCTGCCACTAGGCCTTTGTACGGGCCATCCTCTTGGCAGAGATCCCCTTCCACAGGCATCCAGAGGGCTTGTGCCATCACCTCCTCTAAGTCTTTGCTCAAACAACACTTTTTCAGCAAGGCCTTTCGTGACGCCCCTGTTGAAAACCACAGTCTGCGGTGAGAATGAAGACAGCAAGAGAAAAGCAGAACCAGGAGACGCAGACAGGCACCTGTACTGCCACCGAAGCCTGCACACAGCCAGGCCTGAAGCAAACCCTGATCCTGGATTTTCAGTTCCATGAGTCGTTAAATTCCCTTTTGTGCCTAAGCTAGTGAGTTGAATCACCTACAAGGGAAAGAATCCGGCCAGGCGTGGCGGCTCCCCGCTGTAATCCCAGCACTTTGGGAGGCTGAGGCAGTCAGATCACTTGAGGTCAGTTTGAGACCAGCCTGGCCAACGTGGAGAAACCCTGTCTCTACTATAAATACAGAAATCAGCCAGGTGTGGTGGCACACACCTGTAATCCCAGCACCTCGGGAGGCTGAGGCAGGAGAATCGCTTGAACCTGCGAGGCGGAGGTTGCAGTGAGCCAAGACTGTGCCACTGTACTACATCTTGAGTAACAGAGCAAGACTCTGTCTCAAAAAAAAAAAAGAAAAAGAAAAAACAAAACCCAGAAAGAATTCTGATCAGCATGCACAGGGGTCCCTTTAAAATCCTGGGCCAGCATCGAAGGCAGGAAGACAGGGCTCTGCACCAAGCGCAGCATCCGCCTGGGCTGCCCTGCCTCCTCCCTCAGGCCAACTCTGCAGTGGCGCCATCTCGGCTCACTGCGACTTCTGCCTCCCAGGTTCAAGCAATTCTCCTGCCTCAGCCTCCCAAGTAGCAGGGATTACAGGCCTGTGCCACCATGCCCAGCTAATTGTTATATTTTTGGTAGAGACAGGGTTTCACCATGTTGGTCAGGCTGGTCTCGAACTCCTGATCCACTCATCTCGGTCTCCCCACAAATTGCTGGGATTACAGGTGTGAGCCACTGTGCCCAGACCTCAGGCAAACTCTTAGAGCTCCCGAGCTCACCAGGCTGCTCTGTCCCAGCAGATACCAACACATACCCACTCTTCCACCTACCTGGAATGCCATACCCTACCTCTCTGCCTAGAAATTCTGACACTTCCAAACCTGCCAAGTTGCCCAGTCTCTCTGAGGCCTTTCCACCTGCTCCCAGCTCTCCTTCTAATTGGACCTCAATACCAGGTGCTAACTGTCCACATTTCTCTCTTTTTTTTCTTTTTTTGAGACAGAGTTTTGCTCTTGTTGCCCAGACTGCCAGGCTGGAGTGAAATGGCATGATCTCGGCTCACTGCAACCTCTACCTCCTGGGTTCAAGGGACTCTCCTGCCTCAGCCTCCTGAGTAGCTGGGATTACAAGCATGCACTACCACGCTCTGCTAATTTTTTTTGTATTTTTAGTAGAGACAGGGTTTCTCCGTGTTGGTCAGACTGGTCTCGAACTCCCGACCTCAGGTGATCCACCCACCTCAGACTCCCAAAGCGCTGTGATTATAGGCGTGAGCCACTGTGCCCAGCCTCTTTTTTTTTTTTTTGAGACAGGGTCTTGCTCTGTTGCCCAGGCTTCAGTGCAGTGGTGCCATCGCAGTTCACTTCAGCCTCAACCTCCTGGGCTCAAACAATCCTCACACCTCAGTCTCCTGAGTTGCTGGGACCACCGGCACAGAGCACTGTGCCCGGGGCCACCATGCTCAGCTAATGTTTTGATTTTTTTTGTAGAGACAAGATCTCCCTATGTTTTTAGGCTGATCTCAAACACATGGCCTCAAACAGTCCTTCTGTCTCAGATGCAGGATTGGGATTACAGGCGTGAGCCACCACACCCAGCCCCGCATCTCCCCAATTTCTTGAAAGGAAGGACTCATGGGATTCTCCATGTCCCAAAGCCCAGCATGGAGGCCAATAACACAAGTGCTCAGTAAATGTTTCCTTAACTGTCAAGCCCCACATCTGAACAACCGCAGCTCCCACAACCTGGAAAGCCCTTTCACATACACTATCTCCTTGCCTCCCAACCAGCAGGGAGGAGGGGGTGGGAAGGCTATCAATTGTATCGACAGAGGAGGAAACGGGGGCTCAGAGAAGCGAAGTAACATGTCTAAGATCGCTGCAATCCCAGGAACTGGCAAGGCCGTGTTCCAGCCCCTCCCTGCCCTTCTGCCGCCCGCTCCCCGCACTCCCAGGGTTCCTGACCTGGGGATGATGCGCTGGGTGAGGCGGTTGGTAGGGATGGAAAGGGGAGCCTGTTGCTGTAGTCTCCGCTGCTCAAACAGGCCTGGGAGGTCATGGGCCCAGATGTGCGTGGACTTCCCTGCAGAGAAGTGGAGACGCCGGGGCCTGGGGCGTTGGTGGGCAGGATGCTGAGGCGCTGGAGCCCCTTCGGGCCCCACCTCCCTGCCCGTCCCACCTCGTACCTGAGAGTGACAGCAGCACGTTGTTCACGCAGTAGAGCCAGGAGCAGCGGTGTGAAATCAGCTGGAGGCGACAGAGGGACAGGCAGTCAGCACCCCAGGCCTCCCAAGGCCTCTGCGTCCCCCGAAGCCAGCTGGGCCTCACCTTCTCCAGCGTATCCTCATGCAGTTCATGCAGGTTGAGAGTGTAGATGCCTTCCTCAGCCCCCACCACCAGGAACTGGTCTGTGGGTTTGGGCATGGGGTCAGAGGTCAGACCTGCCCCCCCCTTGGCCCAAGCTGAAGGGTTCCCAGGGTTCCTGCTTCCTCCCTGTCCCAGCCTACCCCGAGTCACAGGGTGAATCCAGGTGACAGCAGCGTGGATCCGCAGGGGGCAGCCGTTGAAGACCTTGGAGAAGCAGGCACCCATCTGTGGAGGAGTCAGGAGGCTGGTGAGGGGGTGCAGGGGCAGGGGGTGGCAGGGCTGTGGGACTGCAGGGCTGGGGGCACTTACGTGCACCTTGGGCGTTGGGGGGAGCCCGTGGCAGGATGACCTCTGGGAGGGAGGGAGGGAGTCAGGGCTGATGTGATAGCCATGGCCACCCATCTCCCCATGCCCCTTAGCACCCCCTCACCTCAGGATCCTCCCGCTGCTTCATGGTGGCCCAGGCCGTGGGCAGCAGTGGGGGGCTGCTGGGGCCTGGAGGAGGTGGGGGCAAGGTTCCTGCGGGCACACGTGTGCTGTGATTTTCTGCTGCAGCCCCTACTCTAGGCCTGCCTCTTGGCCTCCCAAGCCTGGGACTCACCTTGGGGACTAGACAGAGGCTCCTCAGCTGGAGGCTCAGGGGGCAGTGACCCCAGGAACGGGGCCCGCTTGATGGTTCCCATGGCATCGTCTGGGGAGTCCAGCTCCTGGCAGGAGGGGCAGGACCCGGTCTGGCCGTTAGCAGGTTGTCCTGTGACCGCATCCCACTCCAATCTCACCCTCTGCAACGGCCTGGATCCCAGCTCCAGCCTCTCTCCATGTGGCACCTGGAATTCTGAGGCTGACCGGATGGTCAGGCTCCTGGGGGAGGGAGACGAGGCATGAGGCGTGAGGTGTGACTGGTGCTGAGGCTGCCTGCCCTTTGCCCCTCCACCAGGCCCACACCCCTCACCTTTCCTCCAGGGCTTCCTGGACCGACTGCAGCAGGCTCCTGGGCAGTGGGGCAGAAGGGTCAGAGGTAAGCCTTATTTTTTTTTTTCTTGAGACGGAGTTTTGCTCTTGTTGCCCAGGCTGCAGTGCAATGGTGCAATCTTGGCTCACTGCAACCTCCGCCTCCCAGGTTCAAGCAATTCTCCTGTCTCAGCCTCTCAAGTAGCTGGGATTTTACAGGCGTGGGCCACCATGCCCAGCTAATTTTTGTATTTTTATTTATTCATTTATTTTTGAGATGGAGTCTTGCTCTGGTGCCTAGGCTGGAGTGCATTGGCGCGATCTCAGCTAACACACTCTGCCTCCTGAGTTCAAGCGATTCTCCTGACTCAGCTTCCCAAGTAGCTAGAATTACAGGCGTGAGCCACCACACCTAATTTTTTGTATTTTTAGTAGAGATGGGGTTTCACCATGTTGGCCAGGTTGGTCTTGAACTCCTGACCTTGTGATCCTCCTGCCCCAGCTTCCTAAACTGTTGGGATTACAGGCCCCGCCTAATTTTTTTATTTTTAGTAGAGATGGGGCTTCACCATATTGGCCAAGCTGGTCTCAAACTCCTGACCTCGGATGATCCACCCATCTCAGCCTCCCAAACTGCTTGGATTACAGCCATGAGCCACTGTGCCTGGTCAGAGGTCAGGGTTTCTGCCACCCCAGCCGCCCCTGCAACTTCCCCACCCCTACTTACCCACTCAGCTCTTCCTTTCCCAATAGTGTCCACTCTTCCTCCCACTGGGGCAAACCAAGGCAGAGAGACCAGGAGAGAAGCAGAGAGAGAGGCAATGTGAGAGGGTGGTCAAGAGATTCAGAAGAAAAAAGACAGACAGGAAAAGTGAGATGGAAACACGCAGGAGACGAAAGAGATAGACGGTCGGAGGCAGAGCCCAAGAGACTGCGAAAGAAAGCGCAGAGACAGTGAGGGAGGAAGAGACAGGCTGGGGGGCGAGGAGAGGCGGGGACAGAGCCTCTGAGGGCAGAGATGGTGAGTCAGACCACCGGGGACACACAGGTGGGAAAACAAGACTGAGCAGGGTAGCGTGGGGGCTCAGACACACAACGGCCTCCTTGTGGGAAAGGAAGAGTCTCTGTGCTACCTTCCAGCCAGCCACCTAAAAGAACCTGGCCCAGGAAGGAGCCCCCAGCCTCCGGGTCCCTGGGTAAGACAAGGCTGCTTGGACAGTCCAAGGCCCAAAGCCTGAGGCTCCCCAGCTTCAAAGCTCCCTTGATTTGAGCTGCTCGGCCTCAATCTGACCTCCCTGCCCTACCCCTGAGCACCACCTTCCCCTCATGACCTGCCCACTCACCGGCTCATTCAGTGGGTCGGTTTCCTTCCTGCGTGGGGCGCCAAATTTCACCTGGTGAACTGGGGGGGTCCAGAGGTCAGGGGTTAAGTGGCTGTAATCTTAGGATGGAGCCCTGCTCTCATACCAAATCTGTACACACACAGCCCGCCCCCAATCTGCACACGAACAGTCCCTGCTGCAGACTCACACTGGATCTCCGAGGGGGTCCTCTCGGCTGGGCCGTGCTGCCCCCGGGAGTGAATGGTGTCTGGAAACATGTCGTAGGTCTAAGAAAGAACAGAAACGGGCCGGGCGTGGTGACTCACACCTGTAATCCAAGCACTTTGGAGGCCAAGGCGGGGAGATAGCCTGAGGTCAGGAGTTCAAGACCAGCCTGACCAACAAGGTGAAACCCCATCTTTAAAAAAAAAAAAAAAAAAAGAAGAAAGAATAGAAATGGTGCGGGCACACCTGGCACGTGCCTCACGCCAGGGCCGCTGGAGGAGCTTCACACGCACCAACGCATTCTGCTTTCACGATATCCCTCTGGGACTATTGTAAAATAAAATGGAACCTCGCTTCACAGATGAGAGAACCTGCACAGAGAGGTGCCGAAGATCACACAGAAAGCAAGAAAATGGCACAGTCGTGGTCATGATGAGCATGGGCTCAAGGGCAGGGACTGATCAATGGGGAGGTACAGGGAGCAAGACTCAGCATGGCAGAAACTCCTAATGGGAGGGCTCAACCAAGGCCAGCTCCCCGAGCTGAAATGGCACCAGTTAATGGGACCTCCACCAACATCACCCTTGGGCTCCTTCTAACCAGATCAGCCCAAGACTTACCTCCCAGTCCTCCTCACCTACCTCTAGCTCACAGTCCTCAGGGGAGGGAGTCCCCAGATGAGGGTCACTGGCTTTGTCCAGCAGCTGTGTGAGGAGGGCCCGAGGGAGCTGCTGGGTGGTGAATGGGTGCTGGAAAGTGGGGGAGGGGGTGATCAGGTTGGCCCCTGATCCAGCGCCCTGCTTTTGAGCAGCACTGCGCCCTCACCCAGCCCTCTGCCTCCCACCTGCAGGAGCTTCTCTGCTGTAGGCCTCTTCTTGGGATTTTTGGTCAGGGCCAGCTTGAGGAAGTGGTGGAAATTCTGGGTCCTAGTGGGCACAAGAACCGCCCCCCAGCCCCAGATCCAGGTTAACCCTCGTGGAGGGTGTCCTGCCAGCTGCCCCACCACCCCTCCAGAGGTGTCTGCTGGGCCTACTCAGGAAGGAGCCAGCCGAGGCCGAGGGCCACTGGCCGAGCAATGCTGCCTTGTGACATGGCTGCTCCTCCAACCTGCCGCCCTTCTTTCCTGACCACGCTGGGTCTTCAGCCCACACAGGAGGACCAGAGCCCTCACTCAGATGGTCTGTGGTGGCCCAGAGAGGATAGTGCTCTTGGGGCTGCCCACCAGGAGTTGGCAGAGGCTCCCTGTCCACTATGGGTCTGGCAGAAAAAGGGGTCCTGGAGTGGGGTATGGCCCTTACCAGCGAGCCTTATCTCTCAGTTTGGGCGGCTGGAAGCTGCTCTTCGACATGAGCATCAGGGCCCTGCGGAGGGCGTGAGGTCAGGGGCCATGGGCCGCAGGTCAAGGGTCAGGTGAGGGGCACGTGTTGGGCTGACCTCATGGGGTGCAGGTGGAACAGAGGGGGCTGCAGCTCGCCCAGCTCAATGGCGGTGATGCCCAGGGCCCAGACATCACACAGCTCGTTGTAGCCACCTTTGCGCTCCACGGCAGCCACCTCCGGAGCCATCCTAGAGGTGGGGTCACAGATGGGATGGCTGGGTGCCTCTCTGCTATATAGCCCCTGCCCCTCTGCCCCAGGGCACAGCCTCACCAGTAGGGAGTCCCAATGAAAGACCTCCTCTTGGCCACAGACGCTGTCAGCTCGCCTGACACCCCAAAGTCAGCTGTGGGGAGAAACAGCCACTCTCACCGGCCATCTGGCTGCCACTCTCCCTCCCACGCCCGGGGCTCAGATGGGCAGGTGGCCCCGCTCAGCCACAGCTGCTGCAGGCCCTAGGCAAGACCAGGTTCCTCTCCTGAGAGGAGGCAACCACCCTCTAGCACTGACGGAGTGCCTGGTCCCATGTCAACTCCATGTAGACCCAACGTCATCCATTTTCCAGCAGGGAGAGAGTACCGTTCCATCTTCTAAGCAGGGAAACTGAGACTCAAGTGGCAAAGTGACTGGCCCAGTGACACCCAACACTTGAGTCCAGGGTAGCCAAGAAGGGTCCACAGAACCCTCACCCTGACTGTGTCCCCAGGGTACTGACCCAGCTTGACATCTCCCTGGAGAGTGAGGAGAAGGTTGGCTCCCTGTGGGAATGGAGGAGAGAGAATCCCGTCTGGTGCTCCCGAGGGCCTCCTCCTCCCACCCAGGATGCCCTCGGCCAGACGCTTACCTTGATGTCTCTGTGGATCTTCCCCTGAGAATGCAGGTGGTGGAGCCCCTGGGGACAAAGAGGAGTCCCTGAAAGCAGCCACCCAGCACTGGCCTACCTCCCCTGAACCCCCTCTCAGGACTGGGGCCCCCCACCCACGCTGCTTCTTCCTCCCCTCTCCCCAAACAGGAAGTGACTGAGCCAAGAGGGAAATGGGCTGCTTCCGGCAACAGGGCTGGGGCCCCTTTCCCCCAGGACCTACAGCCCCTCAGGCTAGCCCCACCCGAGGCCCTCCACCCGCCTCGCTGCTGGTCATCTGGGCTCCGGGCCCACAGCTTCTGGGGACCGGAGGTGTAGGCACCTCACAGGCCCAGCTACCTTCAGTGCCTCTCGGCAGACGTAGGCAATCTGCCGCTCCTCCAGGGGCCCAGTGGCTGAAAGGGAAAGGGAGAGGCTGGCCTGGGGGGCCTGGGGGCCATGCCCACCCTCCTGGGCTACCGTGTGTGGGAAAAGCAGCAGGCACTGTTAAGTGAAAGCAGTGTTGACCATGTTCCCTCCCAGTTTAGTCTAGGATACTGAACCCAGAGATGGACAGCACTTCTCCCAAGGTCACATATACAGAAGTAGAGAGGAGCCCAAGTCCAGGGCCCTAAGTCCCCTCGGGCACCCCAGTGGGGTGGGGGGGGTGGGGGAAGGTTGGGGCCGGCTCAGGCCTGGAGCCCTGGCCTCACCATGGTAAATCTCCTGCAGGGAGCCCCCTCCACAGAACTCCATGCAGATCCACAAGCGATCATTCCTGGGGGACAGAGAGCTGGGGTGGGCACACAGCAGGTCATATGGTGGCTGCCTGGGGCCAGGAGGATAAGGCAGCCTCACCTGAGGTAGCTGCCAATGTAGGCCACCACATTGGGGTGGCGGCACTCACGCAGAATGGTGATTTCCTGCTGGAGGGAGCTGATGTCGTCTCCTGGGAAGCACAAAGCATCATGGGGGGTACGCTGGGGTTGCCCTGACTCAGTGCCCCCATCTGCAAAATGGGCACAGAGTGCCTCCCTCCGGGCCAGGCAGGTGCCAGGCGATAGAACCTCCTGGGGCATGCCTCTCAGGGGTCTTCGAAACGTCAACCCTCCGCCCGCACCTCCCGCCCGCGGGCGCTCTGCCCTCCCTCTGGCGCAGAGGCCCAGCCCGGTCCCTCACCTGGGTCTAGCTTGACTATCTTCACGGCGGCCAGTTCGGACGTAACCGTGTCGCGGGCCTGCAGGGGCGGAGGGTGAAGTGGGCTGGGGGGCGGGACCGGGGGCTGGATCCCGCCGCGGGGTGCGGGGCTGGCACCAATCTCCCGGCTCTCCCGCCCGTCCCGTCGCCCGGCGCACCTTGTAGACGTCGCCATAGGTCCCGGCCCCCACACGCTGCAGCAGCTCGAAGCGGTCCCGCGGGTCCTGCAGGGACACATCCCGCAGCAGCGCCATGGCCCGGCGCCGGGCGGGCCGGCAGGCGGGCAGGCGCGAGCTGCGGAGCCGGCGCGGGCGGCGCGGGGCGGGGCGGGGCGGGCGCCCGTGGCTCTGAGGCCGCGGGGGCGGGGCCGGGGCCCGGGGGCGGGGCAGCGCCGGGGATGCCCCGCCGCCCGGCCGGGAGGAGGCGCTCGCGGGACGGGCCCTCGGCGGCGCGGGGAAGCCCCGAGGCCCGGGCGGAGCCTGTCTTTCCGCCGCCACCGTTGCTGGAGCTCCACAGGTAGAGAGCGCAAAGTCCTGGGAGCCAGAGGGTCTGCAGAAGGAAGAGGGGCGCTCCACTCCCGCCCCATTCCCAATTTCCCAGATGAAACATGAACTTGCTCTTTGTATTTTTTTTTAACAAAATGTATTCATCTTTCTTGAAACTGAAAAATAAATCTATGTACAAAACAGGAAGAGATCAGGCTCCTGTCACCCACTCCCAACCCTCTGCAGATTTCCTCCGGGATGCTCCGAGATGGCTGGACCTCTGGGAGGTTCCCAGAGGGTAGGAAGGGTGGTCTTGCTCTGATCTGGGGCCAGTTTAGTCAGGAAGAGGGCGGGGCTCAGGATCCTCATGGGCTGGGGGCGGAGTTTCGTGTCCCACACTTGGAATAGGAAGGAGAGGAAGCTAGATTTCCAAATTCTAGAGCAGGACTCAAGTTCTTTGGGGGTAGGGAGCTTGTTTTCGCAAGATATGAATTCTGAAGTGCGGAAATATAATCCTAGGGACTGAGTGGGGTCCTAGGCTCCTGGGCTGGAGGCAGGACCTGTGCTCGTTGGGTTAAGGATGAAACCTCAGCTCCCACAAGCTCGGAGCAGCCCCGAGTAACGTTGGTCTGGCTCTAGGTGAGCGGCTCCCTTCTGAGGAGGAGCTTGGGTTTGGGACTTTAAAGGCCCAAAATCCCAGGGGTTGGGCCTTTAAAGATAATTAGGACCCAGGGTGAGGTTTACATTGGCTGGCTGGGATTCTAGGAAGAGACCTATATTCTAACGACTGAGGCAGGGCCCTGGGTTCTGAGCTGGAGAAAATTGTGGGTTTGATGTAGACTGTACTCGGGACTTGGAGCCTTGGGTTCGGGTAGGGGTGAGGCCTGTCCCCTTTGGGCTGGGACACAGCATGGGCTCAGAGTGGGGGGACTAAGGGTGGCGCCTGGGTCCCCATAAGCGGTCTAAAGTCCCCAGTAGTTCAGAGGCCTTTGCGCTGCCGCTTGAGGAAAGACAGAGTGTAGTCACTAGGGGTGGACACCTTCTGCTTCTTCATCTGCACTTGCGATTGCGCTGTGAGTTGCAGCTTGATGGCGCTTGAGTTGATCTTGGTGGCCACCAGCAGCTCCTTCATGCCCTTCATCTTCTCACTCTGGAAAGTGAGCACTGGACCCTCCGGTGGCGGTGATGCTGCGGGTGCTGGCGCCTGAGCCATGCTCCCACCTTCAGGGCCTCGGGCTGTGCCAGGGACTGTCCCAGGGGGTTTCCGGGGGGGTCCTGACACTGCACCCTGGCCGGCACCTGGGCCCTTGTCCAGTGCTGGCTTCTTGGGCGGCGGGGGCTCCTCTGGCTTGGACTCCCGCCGTGGGCCCCTCCGCCGACCTTCCCGGGCTTCCTCACCCCACGGCTCCTCTGCCTCGGCCGCCTCGGCCTCCCGGCTCACTATGCGCACCTTCTGCCGCACCTGGGCCAAAGGGGAGAGCAAGCTGAGGGCAAGGTTGCTGGCCAGTGGCTGGAACTTCTGCTCTGGCCATCCCACCCCCCTCAGGGGGTCTCAGTCTCATCTGCACCTAAGGGGATGGGCAGATGCTGCCCCTGGGCCAGAAAAGTCTGACAAACCTGTGGCTGCCCTCACCACCTGTAGCGCCCAGACCTCTGTGCAGCTGTCCCTCACCTGTCCCTCAAAACGGCCTAGGGACTGCACAAGGAAGGTGGCCCAGCCCACATGCAGCACAGGCGTGGGACTGCCCTCTTCCCATTTGCAGATCCCGTCGTAGAATCGCAGCAGGTGGGCAAAGCATTCAGGGTCCTGGAGGGCAGAACCTTGGCTCTGGGTGCCCTGGACAAGGGGGAAGGGAGGGCACAGGTCAGTCTCTTACTCACCCCTTAGCAGAGGGCACTGACCAGGCCCCCCACCTAGGCAAAGACCCCTAGCTCCAGAAAAGGTAAGCATAGGTCAGGAACAATCTTAGAACCTCTTTCCTTTTATAAAGCCAATTCATAGCCAGAAGGCACCATCCCTTACCACCTACCCCTCGGCTGTAGGAGGGACTCTGGCCATGAAACTGAAGGCTCAGGGTAGAAACCTTTAAAATACCTTCAGCCCTGTCCACCATGGACCCAGGACCTGAGCTACAGCAAAAGGGAACATAGCTCTCTGATCGGGGACTCCTTCCTCATGCCATCCCTAGTCCTGTACATGCAGCCTCCATGGCCTGTGGCAGGGTGCTCTGCCCAGGTGGGAGGCTGGACACAGGCTGGTGCTCCAGCCTTTCACCTGGCTCTGCTCCCCTGGCCGCTCCTCGCCTGCCTCCAGCAAGCTGGCTGCCTCCTTCAGCAGGTTGGGGATGACGTCATTGGCTACTTCGAAGAACTCCTTGTAGATCTCCTCGTCTTCCCGGCAGTAGTTGTAGCTGTGAGAGCAGGAGGGTCTCTATAGGGTCTGAAGGGGTCTCACCATGGGGTATAGCCCCAGGGACCCGGTGGGGGATGGAGCCCAGGTTTCTTTTCTTGGGTCACCCCAGGAGCTGGGGGAGTAGGTGGGGTCCTCACTGCAAAATGATGCTGTCTGAGTCACCCTAGAGCAAGAATGAGGAGCGGGGATGGGGCCAAGGGTAGAAGTCCCACTGCTAGATGATGGTGGTTAAACATTGGGAGGAAATTTGAGACTGTTCTGAGAAAAAATATTGGGAGGAGAGATGAGGGAGGGAAAGATGTGATGCCTTAATCAGGGGTCCCTACCTCCTGGATGATGGTGGCCTTGCTGCCTAGGGACTGGAAGGAAAGGGGATGGGGCTTGGACCCAGGCCTCAGTCCTGGACGAGGGAGGTTGGAAATTGATGGAGGGGAAGAAAGGACAGGATGCAGGCCCTAGTAGGGGATCCTCACTCCTGGATGACAGTGGCCGTGTCCGCCCAGGCCTGCAGAGCTTCGCGCACATTGCGGTTGCGACAGTGGTAGCCAGCCAGGTACATGTAGGGGTAGATGTGTTCATCCCGATAGTAGGTTTTGGCTGAGGCAATGCCCTGGGGGTGAGGCAGAGGATCATCAGGGAGGCAGCCCCAGCTGCCCTGCTGGCACAAGTGCCCCATCAGGGCACACCCAGAAGGGGCCACAGGAAGATCCCAGAGAGTCCTCTCCATCTCCACTCCCACCTCCACTCGCTGCCAGCCCTTGTACCTGGTCTCCTCCCTGGGTCTGTGGGACTGCTGGCCAAGGCCTGGGGTAGACTGTAGGGGTGAGGCCTGCCCTCTGAGTTCAGGGCCCTTCTCTTTCCCAGACACTCTTCTACGCACACACCAAAGACTTCCAAGCCCAGCCCAATGGCCCTCGTCCCCTCTACACCCACCAAGTGAACACCCCCCCTCAGTGCTCCTACCACATTTGACCTCTGTTATACTCCAGGAAGGACAGTAGGAGTGGCAGAAAAGGCAGGGCTGAGGGGACAAATGCAGGCCCTGCCACTCCCAGGCTGGGAAACCTGGACACCCCTCAGATAGCTCTGACTGCACTGATTCTGCACATAACCGACACAAACTGAGACTGGATGGGCGATACCCCCCAACACACAAAGTTCTCTCCTCATCTGTCCAGATGAGGGGGAACCCCAGAAAGCAGGGGGCCTTAGCCACGGTTGGGGGGTCTCCCTTCTGTACCCTCTTTAGATGCCCCCACCTTGTGGTAGAGGGTGAGTGGGTCTGGCCGGCCAGGGGTACGCTCCAGCTCCTCCAGATCTGCCAGGTTCCCTAAGGCCATGGGGTACCTGGGAAAGGATCATAGTTCAGGCTGCCAGCTAGCCCCCGGCCCTGCAAGGCCCAGCCTGGCCACTTCCCTCTACAAACCTTTCCAGATGTCCCAGGTCATAGAGCAGCCAGAGCAGCTTCTAGGGGCCGAAGGAAAGAGTTATGAGCTATGGGACGGGGAGAATGGGTCCTTAGCCTATCAGGCAGGGTGGGGGCCAGAACCATCAGGGACCGCCTACCATGCAGAAAGGCCAGAATTCTGGGATCAGCCCTTTAAAGGAGTCAAAAGCAATTTCACAGCTCAATTCCACTCTCCCAAGAGCCCTGGGAAAGGCCAGGCCAAGAATTACTAACCCATTTTCCAAGCAGGGAAGCTGAAGCTCAGGTAGGGAAAGTGCTCCTGCCCAGCGTCCCACAGCAGGTCAAGTTCTGGCCTAGCCCAGTCCTGACCCCTGGGCTCAGCCCTCACCTGCTGCAGCTGCAGCAGCTCCAATGAGTCGGTGTGCAGGTCAATGGAAGGGTTGATGGCACACACCATGAACGCCACCTCCATCTTGCGGTCACAGCGCATGTATGATCCTTTCAGGTACAGCCAGCTCTTGGGAGGGGACAAGACCATTATGTTTCAGGATGGCTCACCCTGTGCCTGCTTCAGGGAATGACAGCCAGGAAAAGGGGCTCTTCTGTCTTCCCTTCCTATATGGGTGGTGATGGGAAGAAAGGGGAGTGGCCTAAGAAAGTAGAGTCCCTTGGGTGGCTTGGGCTACCTGAGTATGAAGGGGGCAAGGTTGGGGAGAGGGGACAATACCCGCTCAGCCACACCGGCGTTGACAGTCTGGCCCCTGCGGTCCTCATTGCCCTTGCCATGCCAGGTGACCTCAGCTGTCTGCTCCCCATTGGGCCCAAACACTACCCAGGCATGATCCTCAGACAGGGCGAGGTGGACATCCCGGAGACCCAGGGCCTGGCAGGCCCCAACCACAGCAAAGGCCACACCGGAGCTGTCCAATTTGGTGCCTGTGGAAGGGGGAGGTAATAAAAGAGGGTCCTCTGTGCTTTGGCATGAGGGAAGGGAGCCAGGTAGTGATGGGCCACACTCCCTCCCACTCCCTTTCCGGGCCTGTGCTCCAAC